CCGTCAGGGTTGGCTTGACACACCTTCCTCTTGGCATGTTTCTCTCTTTCGCCTTCCATTCGTGCCTCTTCAAATTCTACAGCACTGCTAGTCACAGCTGACCTCCAACTGGAGCGCTCAAGGACCAGGGCTTCCCAGTTCTCAGTGTCTATGCCACAGTTTTTAAGGTTGGCTTTGAGCCCATATTTAAATCTCTTTTCCTGTCCTCCAACATCCCGTTTCCCATTCTTGAGTTCGGAATAGAGCAACTGCTTTGGGAGACAGTGGTCAGGCATCCAGACAACATGGCCGGTCCAGCGGAGTTGATGGCAGAAAACCATCGCTTCAGTGCTGGTGGTCTTTGCTTCTTCCAGCATGCTATCATTTGTCCACTTGTCTTCCCAAGAGATTTGTAGGATTTTTCGGAGGCAGCGCTGATGGAATCATTCCAGGAGTTGCATGTGATGTCTGTAGACCAGTGGTTCTCAACCTGGGGTCCCCAGATGTTTTTGGCCTTCAGTTCCCAGAAATCCTAACAGCTGGTAAACTGGCTGGGATTTCTGGGAGTTGTAGGCCCAAAACATCTGGGGACCCCAGGTTGAGAACCACTGCTGTAGACTGTCCACGTCTCACAGGCGTATAGCAGGGTTGGGAGGACAATAGCTTTATAAACAAGCACCTTGGTATCCCTACGGATGTCCCGGTCCTCAAACTCTCTCTGCTTCATTCGGAAAAAAGCTGCACTCGCAGAATTCAGGCGGTGTTGTATTTCCGTGTCAGTGCTGACTTTGGTGGAGAGGTGGCTGCCAAGCAGGGGCGGCTCGTCCATTACGCGAAGTAAGCGGTCGCAGAACACTTTTTTTTGGCAGGGGTGCAGAGGCACCTCTGTAAATGCCACTTGAGGAGCGCCCCCTCAGTTCACAACAGCCCTAGCAGTCCGGGGGGAGCCTCGGCTTTCTTGCCTCACTGCCGGGTCATCCTCTTCACAAAGGGGCCGGGCCCTTGAGCCTCGCCTAGCCCCTCTCGGTCCTGCTCCACCCGGCCACCGGGTGCTAGCAGAGCCAGCGCTCAATCGTTCTCCGCATTCGATCCCTTCCCCATGACCGGCTCCCTTTCCCAATCCCCCGGCGCTCCACCCACCTCCTCTCCTCTCCCCAATCCGCGGGTGGGCCGCTTCAGTTCCGGAGGCGTGTCTGAAGACCCCAGCGTGCGCACCAAAAGTTGCCTCTTCTCCTGACTTTCTCTTCAGCCATTGGGACCAAGAGAGAGAGAGAGAGAGAGAGCCCCTCCGGCTGGAGGTATCTCCCACCTCCGCTCCCTCCTTTGTTTTTGCGCCTACCTTCAGGAAAGGTGGGCATCTCCACCTCTCTCTCTCTCTCTTGGTCCCAATGGCTGAGGAGAAAGTCAGGAGAAGAGGTGACTTTTGGTGCACACGCCGGGGTCTTCAGGCATGCCTCCGGACCCAAAGCGGGTCAGGCGCGGTGGCTCCGCCCCTTGGCCCACCCGCAGATTGGGGAGAGGAGAGGAGGTGGGTGGAGCATCAGGCAAGGGAGCAAGTGCAGCAAGTGTAGTTACTGGGATGTATAGTTCACCGAGAATCAAAGAGCATTCTGAATTCCACCAACTTATCTATCCGAACGTATCTCGGCCTATCAGCCCACCAGGACCCTAAGATCTTCTGGGGAGTCCCTGCTCTCTATCCCGCCTGCTTCACAGGTGCGGCTGGCGGGGACGAGAGACAGGGCCTTTTCTGTGGTGGCCCCTCGGCTTGGAACGCCCTCCCCATAGAGGTAAGATCAGCCCCCTCGCTGATGGTGTTTCGGAAAAGATTGAAGACATGGATGTTTGAACAAGCATTCGGTTAACCCGGTGCAATGAATTCTGATGATCAAAGGACTGGTAACCATGGACGACGAGATTGGATTGCGATTTCAGTTACGAGATGCAATTGGATTGTTATTGGTGGCCCAATAATTTTGTATTGTATATGTGTTTATATGCTTTTAAACTGAATATTGTGATTTTTGTATTGTTGTAAACCGCATTGAGTCGCCGATTCAGGCTGAGAAATAGCGGTATACAAGCGCAGTAATAAATAAATAAATGATGGAATTGAATCAAATATGGCACACAGAACTCCCACGACAAACAGAAAATATATATCAATGATTGGTTGGGGGTGTGTGTGCCAAAATACTGTTTGCTTACCGTTGAAAATTACCTAGGGCCGCCTCTGCTGCCAAGGTAGTGGAAATGGTCAATATTTTCTTACACCATTAAGCTGCATTTCCGGCACTGGAGAGGGATATAAAAAGGTTGTCCCCTGACATTAAGTCACTATCAGCTGCCAGATTGCCAATATCCGCTGGATAATGGAGAAAGGCAGGGAGTTTCAGAAAAACATCTACTTCTGCTTCATTGACTATTCTAAAGCCTTTGACTGTGTGGATCATAATAAATTGTGGCAAGTTCTTGGTGGGATGGGCATCCCAAGTCACCTTGTCTCTCTCCTGAGGAATCTGTACAAGGACCAAGTAGCAACAGTCAGAACTGACCACGGAACAACAGACTGGTTCAAGATTGGGAAAGGCGTACGGCAAGGCTGCATACTCTCACCCAACCTTTTTAACTTGTATGCAGAACACATCGTGCGATGTGCGGGGCTTGATGAATGCAAAGCTGGGGTGAAAATTGCTGGAAGAAACATTAACAACCTCAGATATGCAGATGACACCACTCTGATGGCCGAAAGCGAGGAGGAGCTGAGGAGCCTTCTAATCAAGGTGAAAGAAGAAAGCGCAAAAGCCGGGTTGCAGCTAAACATCAAAAAAACCAAGATTATGGCAACAAGAATGATTGACAAGTGGGAAATAGAGGGAGAAAATGTGGAGGCCGTGACAGACTTTGTATTTCTAGGCGCAAAGATTACTGCAGATGCAGACTGTAGCCAGGAAATCAGAAGACGCTTACTTCTTGGGAGGAGAGCAATGTCCAGTCTCGATAAAATAGTGGAGTAGAGACATCAGACTGGCAACAAAGATCCGCCTAGTCAAAGCCATGGTATTCCCTGTAGTCACCTACGGATGTGAGAGCTGGACCTTAGGGAAGGCTGAGCGAAGGAAGATCGATGCTTTTGAACTGTGGTGTTGGAGGAAAGTTCTGAGAGTGCCTTGGACTGCGAGAAGATCCAACCAGTCCATCCTCCAGGAAATAAAGCCCGACTGCTCATTGGAGGGAAGGATACTAGAGACAAAGTTGAAGTACTTTGGCCACATCATGAGGAGACAGGAAAGCCTAGAGAAGACAATTATGCTGGGGAAAGTGGAAGGCAAAAGGAAGAGGGGCCGACCAAGGGCAAGATGGATGGATGGCATCCTTGAAGTGACTGGACTGACCTTGAAGGAGCTGGGGGTGGTAACGGCCGACAGGGATCTCTGGCGTGGGCTTGTCCATGAGGTCACGAAGAGTCGGAGACGACTGAACGAATGAACAACAACAACACCTCCACAGTTGTGCTCATCTCCATTTCTAAGCCAAAGAGCCAGCGTTGTCCATAGACACCTCCAAGGTCATGTGGCCAGCATGACTGCATGGAGCGCCATTACCTTCCCACCAGAGCGGTACCTATTGATCTACTCACATTTGCATGTTTTCAAACTGCTAGGTTGGCAGAAGCTGGGGCTGACAGCGGAAGCTCACGCCGCTCCCTGGAATCGAACCTGCGACCATTTGGTCAACAAGCTCAGCAGCTCAGTGCTTTAACCCACTGCGCCAACGCCCCCCCCCCCCCCGGAGAGGGATATAAACCAAGTGAAAAAAAGGTAAGCTAAAGGTAGTCCCCTGACATTAAGTCCAGTCATGTCTGACTCTGGGGTGTGCTGCTCAGATGAGCCGAAGAGCCAGCGTTGTCCACAGACACCTCCAAGGTCATGTGGCTGGCATGACTGCATGGAGCGCCAAGTGAAAGTCTACAAAAATGTGTATAATTTGGAAATGGACTCCAAAACATGGGGTTCCTTGCTCTGGTGAGGCAGTAAAGCTTCTCTCTCAGTGGCTGAGCTGCCAGTGCCTCGACAGGACAGCAAATTGTTGGTAATTTGACTCTGAGTTATGATTTTGGTTTGGATTTTCCTTTTCTTCTGTTCCAACACAACCTGTGTTGGTGATGGCGCAGAATGAAGCAGTGGAAGCCTTGGCCAGGCACATTTCCCTTGCAAAGGAGCACTGTCTCCCTTTGCTCTCTCTGAGCTTTTGCTGCCTTTCATTCCGGGCTGAAGGAGGCCGAGGAAGGTGCGAGCTGCGTTTGGAAGGAAGGTTTGGAGCGACGCCTCGAAAACCTGGGGTCGAAAAGGGATGCCGAGGAGGCGGGTCCCCGCCGGCTGACAGACAGCGCCGGCAGCCAATCGGCGCCACTCCTGGGGAAGCTGCGGAAAGCTGAGCTGAGCCGGGCGCTTTAGCCAGAGCCGGGAGCTGGAAGCCCGGCCGCTCCTTCCTCCCTTTCCCTGTCTCAGGACGGGATTCAAGTTGCCCCCTTTCCCTCCCCTCGCCTCCTCTTTGGCTTTTGTCTTTCTTCCTTTCTTGGGGATCCTCGCCCAGCCCTTAAAGTTCCCCGCCACCAGTTTAGGGCAAGTCAGCCAAGGTAAGGCTCGGAATGGAATGACCCCGTTTCTCCCCCCTCCCCGCCTGCTTTCCCCTTTCTCCCCCCGCCCCACCACCCCCGGGGAGGCACACAAACATGGGTGTCCATCCTGCTGTTGCTCTTCTTCCTCCTCCGGCCCTTCTGGGCTCACCTGGCCGGGAGACGGAGCGAGGAAGAGGGCTTTAAGTGACCCCCCCCCCCCCACTCCTTTGCTTCTTGCCTTCCTTTCTCCTTAGAGCTGGAGAGAGCCCCCTTCCTATGGATTCTATACCATTGCTATGCGTTGCCTTCGCCCACCCGTTCATAGAGAGAGAGAGATGGAGGACGGAGAGAAAACCCCAGCACAGCATGGGTGCTGCATGCTCCTGCTCTTTCTTAGATTTCACCACTCCTTTCCTCCTTCTCTCCCTCCCTCTCTCATCTATCTGTACCCCTTCCTTCTCTCTTTCTCATCTATCCATCCCACCTCTCTCTTCTCACCATTTCTCTCTCACACACACATCTATCCATCTCTTTTCTATCTCTCCTACTTTCGATGTCCGGAATCATTGGGCTGCTGTGAGTTTTTCCGGGCTGTATGTCCACGTTCCAGAAGCATTCTCTCCTGACGTTTTGCCCACATCTCTGGCAGGCATCCTCAGAGGTTGTGAGGTCTGTTGGAAACTAGGCAAGTGGGGTTTATATAACTATGGAATGTCCAAAGTAGGAGAATGAACTCTCTTCTGCTTGAGGCAAGTCTGAATGTTGCAATTGGTCAGTAAGCGTTGAATGGCCTTGTAGCTTCAAAGCCTGGCTGGTTGCTACCCGGGGGAGCCTTTGTTGGGGAGGTGTTAGCTGGCCCTGGTGGATTCAACTTTCTCTTCTCTCTTTCTCTTTCTCATCTATCTATTCCAATCTACACTCTCTCTCCCTCACACATACATACATTAATCCATCTCTCTCTTCTATCCTCCCTCTCCCCTACACTCTCTCTCTCCCATCTATCCATCTCTCTCTCTTCTTTCTCTTTTCTGTCTCTCCTGCTCTCATACACCTCTATCCATCTCTCTCTCTTCTGTCTCTTTTCTATCTTTCTCTCCTGCTCTCTCTTCTGTCTCTCACACATTCATCTTTCTCTCATCTTTCCTCTCTCTCCTGCTCTCTCTTCTCTCACACACACATCTATTCATCTCTTTCTCTCCTCACTCTTTCCTCTCATTCTCCTGCTCTCTCTTCTCTCTCACACACATCTATTCATCTCTTTCTCTCCTCTCTCTTTCCTCTCTCTCGCTCTCTTCTCTCTCACACACATCTATTCATCTCTTTCTCTCCTCTCTTTCCTCTCTCTCCTGCTCTCTCTTCTCTCACTAACACATCTATTCATCTCTTTCTCTCATCTCTCTTTCCTCTCTCTCTCCTGCTCTCTTCTCTCACACACATATATTCATCTCTTTCTCTCATCTCTTTCCTCTCTCTCTCCTGCTCTCTCTTCTCTCACACACACATCTATTAATCTCTTTCTCTCCCCTGCTCTCTTCTCTCACACACATCTATTAATCTCTTTCTCTCCTCTCTCTTTCCTCTCTTTCTCCTGCTCTCTCTTCTCTCTCACACACATGTATTCATCTCTTTCTCTCCTCTCTTTCTATCTCTCTCCTGCTCTCTCTTCTCTCTCATACACATCTCTCCATCTCTCTTTTCTGTCTCTTTCCTCTCTCTCTCCTGCTCTCTCTTCTCTCACTAACACATCTATTAATCTCTTTCTCGCCTCTCTCTTTTCTGTCTGTCTTTTCTTCTCTCTCTTCTCTCTTTCTCTCACACATATTATCTATCCATCTCTCTTCCTCTCTATTTTCTATTTGCCTGTTTTCCTTCTCTCTCCCCTCTCTCTTTCTCTCTCTCACAAACATCTACCTCTCTTTTCTATCTGTCTCACTATCTCTTCCACTCTCTTCTCTATTTCTCTCACACACATTTATCCATCTCTATCTCCTCTGTCTTTTCTATCTCTCCTACTCTCTTTTCTCTCTCTCATACATACATCTAGCCATCTCTCTCTGTGTGTCTTTTCTATCTCTTCTACTCTCTTTCCTCTCTCTTTCTCTCTCTCACACACATCTATCCATCTCTCCCCTCCCCACCGTCTTTTTTATTTCTTCTACTCTCTTCTCTTTCACACACACACAAACACACACACATCTATCCATCTCTCTCATCTCTCTTTTCCATCTCTATATCTCTCCTACTCTCTCTTCTCTCTCATCCATCTGCCTACTGCACTCTATATCTTCCCTCTCTCATCTATTTATTTATCTCTCTCTTGTCCATATCTATCTCACTCTCTTATCTTTCTCTATATATATATCTATCCTACTCTCTTGTCTCTCTCTTATCTTTCCATCCTTCTATCTTACTCTCACCCCATCTCTTTTTCTATCAATGTCCATCCTTCTATCTCATTCACTCCTCCCCCCCCCCTCCAGTCCTGCCCCACTCAACTCCCAGATCGGGAAGAGTGATGTGCCTCATGGATGGGTGAAGGGAGACCCTACATCCTCCCAGAGATGGACATGTAGAGGTTGCACCCTCCTCTGTGCCTTGTTGAGTCCCATGGGCCAGCAAGGCACTTGCTCTTTTTCTCCAGCCAGCCTTCTCTCCTCAACACCACCCCTCCCCAGCCCTGCTTTGCTTGCTGAAACCTTACTTGCTATTCATCTCTTTCCACCCACTCCACTCTTGTGCTTTCTCCAGTTGTTCCAAATGCAGCCAAGGCTTGAGAATAGCTCCAGGCTGGGAATGAGAGAAGGCAAAAACTTTATCCGCCCTGTCTCCCCTTTTCTTTGGTATGGAGGGCCCCAGGGTGGTTATATAGGGCACACTCACCAGACTGCTTCATTGTTTTGTTTTCTTTGTCACCCAGTACTATTTGTAGCATTGTTATTAATAACAATAATAATTACCTCACTTTCCTTAAAGAGACTTAAAGAAAGATATATAGGGCTTGTGTAATCTATAAAATGGAGCCCCCCTATTGCTCAGTGGGTTAAATCCCTGAGCTACTAAACTTGTTGACCAAAAGGTCACAGGTTCGAATCCAGCGTGAGCTTCCGCTGTCAGCCCCAGCTTCTGCCAACCTAGCAGTTCGAAAACATGCAAATGTGAGTAGATAAATAGGTACTGCTTCAGTGGGAAGGTAACGGCACTCCATGCAGTCATGCTGGCCACATGACCTTGGTGGTGTCTACGGACAATGCTGGCTCTTCGGCTTCGAAATGTAGATGAGCACCAACCGCCAGAGTCGGACATGACTTGACTCAATTTCAGGGGAAAACCTTCACCTAATCTATAAAATGTGTGCAGTTTGACATTGCATTGCTATAGCTCAATACCGTGGTATCTTGGGAGTTGTAGTTTGACAAGATCTTCTCGGCCGAAGAGGGCCAGTTCCACATCAAACTACACATCCCTAGATACCATAGCATTAAGCCATGTCAGCTCAAGTGGCATTAAATGGCATTCATTTGACAGTGTATAGGCATCTCTAGGGTGGAGAGGGCTTCACATTGGGAATATGAAAGAGGGAAGGGAAAGGAAAGGAAAGGAAGAAGATGAAGGAATGTCTTGCCTTGGAAATATGGAAGAGGGAAGGGAAAGGAAAGGAAGGCAAGGAAGTGAAGGAATGCCTTGCCTTGGAAACATGAAAGAGGAAAGGAAGAAGATGAAAGAATGCCTTGCCTTGGAAATATGGAAGAGGGAAGGGAAGGGAAAGGAAAGGAAAGGAAAGGAAAGGAAAGGAAAGGAAAGGAAAGGGAAGTGAAGTGAAGGAATGCCTTGCCTTGGAAACATGAAAGAGGAAAGAGGGAAGGGAATGGAATGGAAAGGAAGGCAAGGAGGTGAAGGGATGCCTTGCCTTGGAAATACGGAAGAGGGAAGGGAAGGGAAAGGAAAAGAAAGGAAAGGAAGGAAGTGAAGTGAAGGAATGCCTTGCCTTGGAAACATGAAAGAGGGAAGGGAAGGGAATGGAAAGGAAGGCAAGGAGGTGAAGGAATGCCTTGCCTTGGAAATATGAAAGAGGGAAGGAAAGGGAAAGGAAAGCAAGGAAGTGAAGTGAAGGAATGCCTTGACTTGGAAACATGAAAGAGGAAAGAGGGAAGGGAATGGAAAGGAAGGCAAGGAGGTGAAGGAATGCCTTGCCTTGGAAATTTGGAAGAGGGAAGGGAAGGGAAAGGAAAGGAAAGCAAGGAAGTGAAGTGAAGGAATGCCTTGCCTTGGAAACATGAAAGAGGGAAGGGAAGGGAATGGAAAGGAAAGCAAGGAGGTGAAGGAATGCCTTGCCTTGGAAATATGGAAGAGGGAAGGGAAAGGAAAGGAAAGCAAGGAAGTGAAGTGAAGAAATGCCTTGCCTTGGAAACATGAAAGAGGGAAGGGAAGGGAAAGGAAAGGAAAGGAAAGCAAGGAGGTGAAGGAATGCCTGAAAGGGGAAAGAAAAGGGGAAGGAAAGGGAAAGGTAAAAGGAAAGGAAAGGAAAAGGAAAGGAAAGGGAAAGGAAAGGGAAAGGAAAAGGACTTGGAAACATGAAAGAGGAAAGAGGGAAGGGAATGGAATGGAAAGGAAGGCAAGGAGGTGAAGGGATGCCTTGCCTTGGAAATACGGAAGAGGGAAGGGAAGGGAAAGGAAAAGAAAGGAAAGGAAGGAAGTGAAAGCAAGGAAGTGAAGTGAAGGAATGCCTTGACTTGGAAACATGAAAGAGGAAAGAGGGAAGGGAATGGAAAGGAAGGCAAGGAGGTGAAGGAATGCCTTGCCTTGGAAATTTGGAAGAGGGAAGGGAAGGGAAAGGAAAGGAAAGCAAGGAAGTGAAGTGAAGGAATGCCTTGCCTTGGAAACATGAAAAAGGAAAGAGGGAAGGGAATGGAAAGGAAGGCAAGGAGGTGAAGGAATGCCTTGCCTTGGAAATATAGAAGAGGAAAGGGAAGGGAAAGGGAAGGAAGGAATGCCTTGCCTTGGAAACATGGTCTCCTTGT